GAAACAAAAAAAGAACGACTCTCAGGCAGGCTAAAACTAAAACACAAAATAAGACAAAACAAACAAACAAACAATATACGCAAAGACAGAGAAAACAAAGGCAAAAAATTCCGATAAACAAAAACGCGTTTGTTTTTTTGACAAATCTATTGCGTTTCAAAGGCTTCCTTACACATATATAAACATACATATATATATGTATATATATGTATACATATATGTGTATTTATGTATATATATACATATGCAAACACATACGTATTCATATATGTATGTGTGAACATATATATACATATACACACACATATAAGTATTTATGTATATATATAGATACATACATATATACATTTATAGATATGTGTGCATGTGTGTATATGCATATGCATATGTATGTGTATGCACATGTATATGTATCTGCGTATGTATATACATATGTATACGAATATGAACACGTACTGCATTTGTATGACGAGCGAGTGATTGCTTGCCTACGAATCGGCGACCTGTTGAGAAACCCTGCGGTAAATTCGGAAAAAAAAATCACATTCCTCATAAAAGCACAAGTTTGAGAGGCGGAATACAGTGTACGGAATGCGAGCTGCGACAAGTGCGATTTCTGTTCGGATGTTAAACTAAAGAAAAAAATAAATTTGTTTCACGCTTGTATCGCACTCCGAATTGTATGGAAAAAAGAAAGAGAAAAAAGAAAAGAATAGAAGAAAAAATAAAAAATAAAAATAAAACTATAAAAGCCTAACCTATACAGTAAAATAATAATAATAATAATAATAATAAATATAATAATAAATCTAAATAAAATAAATATTAAAACATAACAATTAAGGAAAAAATAAAGTTATAGACAAGGAATAGGGACATACGGACGATTCTGAGAAAATACTCTCAGTCGCCTCCCGTGTTTAGGCGGCATGTCTGGCTTCAGAACGTTTCGCGACATTCTTTAGACAGAGCCGAACGTATCGTACAGCAAACACGCTGACTGTGCACCCCGGCAGCTGTTCATTCGAGTTGTGGTGATCCCGCAAAGAAGGTTTCGTGGGCATTTCATATCCACATTTGATATCCACTCTATGGTGAGTACAGGAGTTGTCTGTGTTTCGTAGCGTACAAGAACAGTGCTTGCTTTAAGGGACAAGACTGAACACATTAAGACAATGAAATCAACTAATTGCTTATAAAAGCTATGTATATGTTTTTTTTTTTTTTTTTTTTTTTTTTTTTTTTTTTTTTAAACCTTGATCGGCATTCTTTTCCGTTTACACTTCCTCTCATTATTGCCATGTAGTAACACCGTCGCCGTCGGTAAACACACAACGTCGTTTTCACTCCCCTCCCCCCGTCTCTCTCTCTCTCTCTCACGCACTCTCTTTCTCTTGTGCTTTTGTATTGCTCTCTATTTTTATCGGCATTCTCCTCTGTTTACATTTCCTCTCTATCGTCATCATCGTTATCATTATAATCAGTCATTGTTCCTATTATCATTCTCATTATCATCAGTCATCATCGTTTTTCCTATCAGTATCATAATTATCATAACCATCGTCATCATCATCATCATTATCAGTCATCATCGTTTTTCCTACCAATATCATTATAATTATCATAACCATCTGTATCTTCATCATCATCATTATATCATTACAACCACCGCCGCCGCCAGCAGTAGCTCCATCGCCATCACCATCACCAACACCATCAGAATTGTCATGTTTTTATCTTCTCTCTGTCTTCCCCCTCGCACTATCCGTTTCATTCGAGGGGAAAACGTGAATAAAATACGGAGGAATGTTTAGCAGCACAGATCGATTCTTGAGGAGTATACAAAATTAGTGTTTACATGGGGGTTACGTTCGCATGCAAAATATGAGGGGATACGAGAGTTGTTTCATAACATAAAGTAAATAAAACATTATTTTAAAGCAAATATGCAACTATCTATCTCATGTCCTCACCCACACACTCTCTCTCTCCCTCTTCCCTTTCTTCCTTCCATCTTTACTTCCTTCTTTTAAGTCATCGTACGCCCGACACCTCAGAGTCACTATTCTCAAAGGGAGTAACGTCATGGTCAAACTTGCCAAGGATTTTTTAACGTAAACTGCTGTGAAAATTACCGAGGACACGACCTGCAGTACACAAATTACTGTTCGCTCTATTTATTATTGATAATTCGTAATAGTCAGCACCAGAGAAACGACGGCACTTCTCGATGTATATTTGTTCTGATATCAGATTTGCTTTTAGTGCTGTGGGATTACCCGCCCGATTCTAGTGACCTGCTCCCCTCGCTGCTCACCCCTCGAAGACCACGAAAGCCATGTGTTCTTATATCACAAGTACTTCAACCTGCCCTGTGCCCGACATTGACAAAGTGACCGTAGAACACGCTAATCTGACCCTTATTACTATCATACATTTTCAATGTTTTTATTCTGTTGTCTTCAAGTATAAATATGTCCTGTTTATACTGAAAATGTTTCTTATAAAATGCTTGATCTAAATCACTATGTATGTAACTGATTTTACTATTGATATTCAAGTGTTTCATGTTTCATGAACACTCAGTAATTCTGTCCCCTAACCACCAGATGTAAGGTTGTTAAAACATACCGATATCATGTCAACCATACCCTTGTTCCTCTCCACGAAACGGTCATGTGAACCAATGTTTCTGAATTTATGTTCATCCATATTCTTTCATGTTTTTCCATTGTATATTGTTTAAAAACGAACTTCGTCCATGGCAATTCCTGTGCCATACTCTTAGACCGGTCGCCCGCGGGCTTGGCAGGACGCGCTCCTCCCTGGGCACCTGCCTTGCCCTCTGTACCAGTTACCCAGAATAAAGACAAGAAAACTGCGACAAGTTTAACTGCACCAACATCTTCAGAGTACTCCAGTACGTCAGCACCTTAGTTACTACTGCCTTACCGCTCGACCACGCTCTACCAAACTACAAGTAATAATAGTGGAGGGAGTGGGACA